ATGTGTCCTTTGCTGGAAACACCATGTTAGGAAATAAATTGAAAAACTTCATTTGTGTGCTACATTTTAAGCTAGAAGTTCCAGTGATAGGCTTGAACTTCTATTAAAGTTGGTTCCTTTTCTCATTTAGTATACTTTTCTATCTCTGATCCACAAGTATCTGGGGTGGTTTATACCACAAAATCTACCCCAAAGTCATTTTTCTCTCAGATGTCTCACATGCTCTGAAGCTATTATCCCAACTAAAGAGTCAGGTCCTCAGAGCTCAGCTAACTATTAACTCTAGTGTAGCTCTGATGGGTTGGTTGTATCTTATAATCCTATGTCTCATGGGCCCCCACTGGTGCGCTTCCTACCATGAGATAAGTTATCAGTCAAAAACAATTATTCAGCCAGATTTAATTAGCCTCTAGAAAAGAATATTTACTAAGATAGTATAGTAAGAACAGTTGGTACAAAGCATTCTCCCCCACAAATGTGATACACTTTATTGAAATGATATACAGAGTTTAGGAGAATGGTGGGCTCAAAATTAGGAAGTACGTGGTGCAAAGAGCTAACTCACAACTCCTATTTGCTGTAAGTGCTTTTCTTCCTTTTGTAGGTGCTCAAAAATTTCCCTTTAGGTGTGATATAGTTTATTTACTTGTCCTCTTGTGTGGTTTTAAAGATGACCTTCCTTATGGTTCCAATTACAGAGGCAGACACTATACCATATGTTCTAAAAACCTTATTAGGATGAGAACACCATTGGGAAAACCTAAATTCTACAGTCCTCCAAAGTTCATGAGGTACTTTCCCAGGCAAGGGAGCCCAGGAAACAGTTAGGAGATCTAGAGGAAAGCTGGAACACTCCCTCCTCTCAAGTGATTCCTTCTCAGGGGTAGATTTCTTTCCTTTCTGTTGGCAGACACTGTAATCTCTTGGTCTCAACATCCTTAATAGTTTTATAAAGGCCCCAAGTGGGAGTGACCAATTCCCTTAGCCAGTTCAAACAGTATTCCTGTTATATCTGCAGAGGTATCCTTCATAGCTGGTGAATAATCAAGGTGAATTCTCCCTTGATAAATGTATCAGGATTAAATAGGAGGGAATGATTTCAAACCTCTCCTCCCTCACCTCACACTTGTATCCCTAGTCTGATCTTACCAAAGTTGGAAGAACCAAATTTTTAGGCATGAGGTTATCTGTGTTACATCAAAGAAGTCTCTTTGTATGCCAAGTTGGACATGGATTAGCCAGTGTGTATTAGGCACTGTATCTCCACTATGCCTTGCTGTCACTTAAGTTTAGTTTAGAGGAAAGAAAGCCAATGGGTTTTATAAATTATTTTTTGATAACTAGGGTACAATATAACCCAGAAGTGAATATATGACCACATGTAAAATAGTCTTCAAAGAATTTCTTTTCAAACTTATTTTCACTCTAAATTGTTTTCCTAATGCCAGCACCAGGATTCTGATGATTACTATTTTTAGGTCAACTATAGTAATAAAGGTTTTTTTTTTCCATCTTGGGTTAATTCAAGATGATTTATCTTAAATTGTGGTGGCTAGAAAAGGAACATGAAACATTCCAAGAATAACTGAGACAAAAACATATAGCATCTAAGTTACCAATAACTGATTTGATGTTTGGCATATTCATATTCTCTTTAAAAATGTTAACTTTTATAAAAATACTAAAATAATGATGTATTTTTATGTCTTCAGTTTCAAGTGCCATCTCTTCTAAGTTTTGAGTATATATTTGTGAAATATGCACACATCCAGGCCCAATACATGGTAGAATATTACTTTTCATAAGGTAGCTAGTGTTTTTTGAACATTGATACCAAAGAGCATGATTTTGTATCCTGGATGGACAAGAACCTTTGAATTATCTTTATAATAACAATATTGCTACATAGTCCTTGTACTGTAGGTATAACGAATAGCGTGTCCTTCAGAACTTTCAGACAATATAACTTATTACTTGCAGAGCTGTTATACTAGTCTCGCAGATAACCTTTTCTGCCGGAATTATAATAAGAGCCACTCCAACGGCCTAATCAAGCATGAAAGTAATTTGGGGAAATGAAGACAGCACTAAATGCAGATTATAGAAGCCATGAAACTGGATAAAGTCATAAATACTAAGGTCGGAGAAGCAGAATAAGTTTTTTATAGTACAGTTTTTCTTTAGTGAAAAAAATACACCGGAAAATGCTTTAAAAGTATAATATGAATCATAATATACCATTTTAACTCTAATAAATTTTAATGTAAGGCCATTTCTTGGGGGAGAGCATCTGACCTCCCATAATTATCTTCATTGCAATACTTTTGAAACAGGCATTATTATGTCAGCTAAAATATCCAAAGATAGTGTTATTCATAAGCATTTCTACAGTGTAATTTAACCTAAAGAAACCATACTTTTTAGTAACATAGTGTAAAGGATGCTTAATTTGGAGTCAGAGGATTTAGGTAGTTTTGCTACTTATTGCCTGTGTGACCTTGATGAAATTATTTAACTTCCCAAGGCTTCAGTTTCCTCATTTGTAAAATTAGAAGTTTGGAGTTGATGACTTCTTAGGTCCCTTCCTTAGATAGGATCCTAGGGTGATGGGATGTTTTAGTATTCTGGCTGGATTCTATCCTTTGTAATACTTTTAGCCATATTCATTGAAATGTTTCATTATATTCTCTCTTACTGGTATATTTACTATGTAAATAAACCTCCTAAGATTTCCAGCTGGAAAGAAAAATCTCTTGAGAGGAAAAGGATTTGGGTATCCAACTTTCCCAAGGATCTCCCACATGTTATTGAGTAAAGGCAGCCCCAATGTTGTTCCTTATCTAGATAATATTTAGTTTTTATAGTACAGATGTAAACTTGGGATTGACCAAAGCCATTCTCTAAATAATAATCTTTAATATTAGAAATAATGAAGTTATTATACTAAGCTACTTTTTGCTGTTTTTATTGGACTGTTGCCATCCACCCTTTTAATGGAAAAGCTTTTTAGTGAACTACCCTAAGTAAACAATTTCCCCATTATACATTTTTTTTAGTAGAAAGAGAGATATGAAGATACCACCTTAATCATTTCTATTTTAAGTTGATACATCCTATTTAGGAGTTCATAATATTTTAATGAAATTTAAATTACTAAATTAAGTAGAGATGAGTTGTGGGAAAATACTGGATACCAAATGGATTAAAGTTAAAATAAACAGTGTGCAGCTAAGACCATAATTTTTTGAGAGACCATAGTATAATGGTATGATCATAGAAAAAACTCTGACCTGAGAATTGGGAGGCCTCAGATCCAGGCCTGGTTCTGTCACTAATTAGTTGAGTGACCTGTCTGAAATCACTTAAACCCTTTAGGTCCTTAGTTCTTTCATATAAAAACCAAGAATGTTTAACTAGATAATCTCTAGGATCTCTTCCAAATCTAATATTTCATGATGCTATTAAGTTATTGGGAGGAGCACAAAAAAATCAAAAGCAAAGGATTATGAAAACTTATCAAAAAACAACCTTTGGAACGTTCTTTACTGGAATAATTCTTCTAACTCATTACATGGAAAATCCCCCTGATATTGTATAAGTTTCCTTTCACTTTGTGACATTACAGAGCTGGGGCAGAGACCCTTGCAGGCTCTGCTGTCGTTGACAATAGAGTAGTCCACAGACTACTTTGATACTATGCACAAACCATTCCCAAATCTGTACCCACCCCTCTGACAAATTAAGTTCTTAACTTTGTCCTTTTCTATATGTGCAGAGAGGGGAAAGAAGTGTTAACTAGGAAATGTTAAAGGTTTAAAAAACTGTTCTGGAAACAAGGAGAGGTATAGTACTGGGAATTCCAGGAAATACTTTCCCTGTTGCTTCTGCCCTTAAACTCTTGAGATCTGTGACTTCTCCATGTGCAGAGGGGAAGCTGTACGGGGACCAGAACAGATCTGAAGCAAGACAAAGATGTATTCCAGATGAGTAATAGCAAATGATGTTATGTTCCTCTTTGAGAATGAAGTACAATAGCAGCAGCAACCAGAGTAAGAAAGGGGCATCTTAGTCTGGGGGAGCCAGTTTGTGGCAATAGTAACCTTAAACCTGAAGAAGGAGGTTGCCGTCTGGTTTAAGAAATCCCAGTTGAGAAACCTAGGGAATATTCCTTGGAAAGCAGGCTACAACTACTACTTCAGCTTTTAGGAAGGGCATATCATTTTATACCTTGGACAATGGTGTTAGAAACATAGAAGAAGAAATACTAGTCCTTTCCAGTCCCTACTAACATCATTCTGCAGCTTTCATGGACTTGAAGATTATCTACATACAAAGACATTCGATTCCATTAAATAAACATTCCTTAACTGTCTATAATGTGCAAGGCTGTGTACTAGGGGCTAGAGATACAAAAAACAATATTAAAAGAAAAATAGTTCCTGCCTTCAAGGACCTTATTTGAGAGTTTCCTGGGCCTTGAAAGCCAGGTGAAATCTCAAAGATTTGAAGCAATAGGAATTAAAGGTTCTTGGACAGGGGATGAAAGACATGTATAGCCTTTATATTTAAAAAAAAAAAACCTCTCATGTGTACAGTGTCCCAAAAGTCTTTGTTTAGTTTTAAGCTATTAAACCTTAAAACTGAACAATTTAAGCTATCAGAATTTTAAACTGAACTAAGACTTTTGGGACACCCTGTCTAGAGAAATAAAAGCCAAGTGCTTCAAGGTTGTATTTGCTTTAATCTAACACGTATGTTAACTGCAAAGTTATTTTGAACATACAAACACAAATGAAAATAAGTATGTATTTTTTCAATTAAAAGCACAAGCAAACTTCTGAGGACCAAGTCATAAATAAAAATAACAGAATCCACCATTTGTTGCAAATATAATAATACTTTGCTTGCAGATTTTTTGTGTTTGACATGTTAACTTCTCTTATATACCAAGTTTTCCCCAGGGCCATTTCCTACTTTAATGGTCACATTCTGTTTTACAGGAGGGGTTCAAAATGGGACTAACTCTTGAAGGCACGGTATTTTGTCTCGATCCATTAGATAGTAGGTGCTGATGCCAAGAACAAGAGATCCTGACTCTTGTATGACATTTCTTTTTATCATTGTTATTATAATGTGTAATACAAGTATTATCCATGTGCCAAAAAATTTGTTTTTAGACATGTTAACTTCTGTGAGATAAGCTTCAGTGAGACATCAACACAGATTCAATGTTGACCTGTAAAATTGTAAAAAGCCACATCTGCATGTGAGCTATTCATTAAGTTACACCCTTTTGTTCCTTTCTACTTCTGTTGGAGATAAATTTATATTACTAAAGAAGAGAGAGTCTCCTAATTCTTCTCCTATTTCTGGGTTATAAGTTAGTACCTTTGGAAGCTACATTACCCTTTCTCAGTCCATTAGGATATTACTGAATTCTACTCAACTGTAACTTAATAATTTTTTCCTAGTAGTTTGGAAAAAAAAAAGGAAGAAAGAAGGACTCTAACTGAAAACTCAGGACTAATCTAGGCACTTGAAAAGTCTGGCCCTGACTGCGTCTAAAATGATACATGTGCTAGCCACTTCAGTGAGAGACAGCAAATTAGTTATTTGGTGGTATGAGAGCCCAAAAGAAGTGGTTTGGATTTTCAGTTAGCTTTGATGATATCATATAGTTATAACCAATTATTTTACCTATTAAACCTATGAAATTTTCATAAATCATGAGCCTTGTATTATCATTGTGTCTATTAGTTGCTTTTCATATCACTGGAGAATTTTATACTTTGAAAATAATGACCTCAGGTCACTAACTTTCAGACTGGTGAAATGATTAGTGAATATAAATTAAAAGGATAATAAAATTGAATGTACTTAGAATATATAGTAGCAAACATAGATGCCAGGTAACTCCAATTATTATATTCAATTGTTTACTGTGTTTCTTTTTCATCAAGATTTGAATCAACATCTAAGAAAATAGAGAAAATCACTTTAAAATACCATCTTATTTCAAATGAGAACAGTTACATAACAAAGCATATATACCTTTCTAATTTGATAATACAGAGAAAATATATTTGAACATAGATTCTGCATATATTTACAACACATTGTATGAATATTTACTTTATGAAGCATTTTTCTCCCCCAAAGTAGTCTGTCTCTTACTGGAATATCTTCACTTGGCATTGCATTTGGTGCCTAGCACAATGCTTTGCACATCACAGGCATTTTTAGAAGTATTTGTTGAATTGAAATGAATCTCAGATGCTTAATTTGAGATGCCACAATTAGTATTGGTATTTTAACATCTATGACAACCATTCTGTATGAATAAGTAATCATTGTTAGCGATATGATGTGACCAAATTCTACTTTAACCTGATTTTCCTAAAGTACAAGTCATTATGTATACTCATATAAATTAAGTTTCTGCTAGGTCAGAGCATAACTGACTTGGCTGCTTATATTCCATTAATCATTAACATGAGTAATAAACATTTTATTTAATTTCATTCATGATTCAGTTATGACCTTGTTCATTAAAAAAATTTTTTTGTTATACACCTTTACATATGCTTAAAATGTATAGTAACTATAATAAAGTAATACCCTAAAAATAAATCTTATTAGATTTCCCCTAATACCACTTTACTAAAAAAAATAACTTAAAGGTTTCATGATTTAGAAATAGATGGGGGTGGGATGGAAGTCTTCCCCCCAAAAAAGAAGTTTTCTTTTTGGATTCATGAACATTTGCTTTTGTTCCGTATCCTAGATTAAATTTAACCTGGGGTGTTCATGCAACATCACATTTGAGTTTTTTAAAGTTTGAAGGTGTATATGAGTGTTCCTCTTTTCTATTTTATGTTCAGATGTATCACTAATTCCAGAGTAGTATATGTTTCATAAAAAGAAGTCTTTATAATTTTGTCTGTCATATAGTTTTTGGAATTTGTATAATGAGGATGTTTAGTAGCCATATCTCAATGGCTTTTTTAACAGATAGAATTTGTATTTTTATTGTATTTTAAAAGGCTTTATGTAATAGGCATATATTTAGTGGCCATTTACTATCAATGGTAACACAAGATATTTGCACACTTAAAGAACTTTTTCTTTATTGATTTTCTAACGGTAATCAGGTATGGAAATGGCATGATTAATAATACGTAACTGGTCATTCAGTTCAAAAATGCTTAATTTAGCAGTGCATTTTTAATGAAAGATTTGGTTGAAAACTGTATATCTTTGTAATCTCAATGGTATGTTTGATTTTGCTGCAAATAAATGTTTTTAAGTAAATTCTGTTGTAAAATTCATTCATTGAACGGTCTACAGGGAATACAAAAATATCAAAACTAGTTAGTATATTTTCCTTGATGATTTTCCTTGTTATGAAATATACCGAAAGAAAAAAAAGAATAGTATTTACTTAATCATCTCTCCAGTTTTCACAAATCTCCTTTATTTTTTTTTTCAGAATAGACAGGCTTCAGTCATTTTGCTGAAATATCTTTAAATTGTGAAAATGGCAAAAAAAAAAAAACAACAGAAAACAAGGAAACATAACTTTTGGAGCTCCATATGTGTGCATGTGTGTCTGTTTATGCATGTGTCTATGTTTTCTAGAAGCAAGACTATACTAAGAGCTGAACCCCTGATCATACTTTGTGAAGTTCCTTTTTACTTCTTGAGTCTGATCATTAGGAAAGTAATGAGAAGTGTTTATTTTCATGAGCAGTTCTGAAGCTCTCTCTCTCTATCTCCCCACGTACATGTGTGTACTTATATGTGTGTGTGTGTGTGTGTGTGTGTATACATATATTCCATCTATATGATGGAAATATCTTTACAAAAGTGGCACACCTAATGATGGCCTTAAAGTAAGTGAAGTCAATGCTAACTTTTCTTGTTTTAAGACCAGTTTGATACTTACTAGCTGTGTGATTTTTAAAAAGTCACTTAACAAGAGTTTAAGTTTTAATGAGGTAACAATATTTGACAGGAGCGGGCCACAGGAAAAGATGTAACCCAAAGTTTGAAGTTAAACCTTTAAGAGACTACTCTGGATCTAAGAGTTGTGAAGGAGTCAGCATCTTCAAAGGACAAAAGGTGTCTGCAATGTAAGAGGGAAAGCCAGCTTTGCTTGAAGAAAAATTTATTAAAAGTAAGAAAATAGTGAGTTGATTGAGCCATGTTCCCAGTATGACAAAATATTATAGATTTTTTATAGTTTGCCTCAAAGACTATTTTTCTTATTGATCACAGATGTGTTTATAAGTTTGATTTGTTATATTCTGTTAGATGATAAATAGTTATAATAAAATATGTATTTTTAAAAGTTGGCTTATTTTATATATATTATCTGGTTTTGAAGATCTGATTGGCAGGAGTTATAACTTAATCATTTTTCTCTCTTATAGTACCTAGCATAGTGTCTTACATATTATAGGTCCTTAAAATGTTATTTGAAATTAATTAGGAGGTTATATTCTAGTCAGGGAAATAAGGCAAATACAGAAATAAAAATAAATAGTATGTGCTACATACTAGAAAAAAACAACACAAACTGCTATAGGAGAAATACTTGTTTTTTGCCGTACTTCAAAGTTTGAAGACTTTGAACTAGAAAAAAATCTAATTGTTTAACTCAGTGCTTACCTAACTTCCAGTATGTTATTTCCTGAAACAGTTAAGATATTTGGTTTATTACATATCATTTCAATTGCTTCTTTCATATTTCTTCCATGATGGTTTTAAAATTTTTAGACAATTTCAATAAAGAAATGCTGGGCTTTTATTTTCAGATAGAATTCCTGAAGAAATGTTTGTGTTTAATTTTCCAAACCCTGAATTATGTTACTGTTTTCTGATACTATTTAATAGAACCATGAAAAAATAACTGGCTGTTAAAATTTCATATTTTCATGTTTCCATAGAGATGTTTCCAAATTCAATATTTGTTTGTGGTCTTTGAGCCTCTACTTCTGTTAAATTGCTTGAACAATCACTGTCCCAAATTTAGCATTCCATCTCCAGAGTCCATCTAAACTGCACCCTTTGTAGGTAGGTATCACCAATGCAGGGTGCCATTATATAACAGGGGAAATAGGCGTCCTGTGACACAGCATGTTTTTTTTTTTATAAATTAAGCTTAGAGTGTGGACATTAATATTCAGACCATTTGGCCTTTTCCTCCAGTATGTCAAACCAATACCCCCCAATCTTTGGCTCCATCCCCTCCCATCTTAGATCAAATTCTAGGGCACTGCTGTCTTCTTTCTTTTCAGACAAAAATTCTTTTTTTTTTCTTTTTTCAAAAATTTCTATTTTTTGTTTTTATATCACCTTAATTACCACATATATCTCTCTGCATCTCCCTGGAGAGCCATCCCTTGTAACAAAGAATAAAAAGAGAGAGAGAAAGAAATAGCTAAGAAAAAAATAAATAAATAAATAAACATCACACCAACCAAATCTGATAGTACATTCAACATTTCTACGTCTATAAACCTCCCGCCCGACACACGCGCACACACGTATCTACAGAAATGGCAAGAATATGCATTTTCTCCTCCTCTTGCAGTTACAGCATTCCATTTCATTTCTTTAATTCTTTTCTTTTAAATCATTGTAGTTAAGCACACATTTTTACTGTTAGGAACTAGTCAATGTCTAGGTCATTGTATGAGCTAGAAACACATCTCAGCTCTAATAAAATCACACCTACACCTAATCTTCTTTTTTTCCTAATTCAAGACAGTTTCACTCGAGAATTCCTATTATAGTATGATGATACAGCCACCCCCATCACAACCCCTATGCTTAATCTAGAAATTAACTCTTGGAAAAACTTTATATTTTCCCAAAAAGGTTTTACAATTTTTCTTATCTTTGTCCCAGTCCCTTATGAGGTTTATATAGATTTGTATGTATTGATTCCTTGGAGCCAGGCTTATGAGAATCCATCAGGCTAATGAAAATCTGGCACAGCTAGCATACCTACTGATAGATAGTGATAAAGAGTGATAAAGGGTTAAGTAAGCGGAAGGAAAGAAGTTGCTACGGGACTCTGTGTTGCTTTGTCTTAACTTCACTACTGCCCTGATCACCAAACCATTACTAAGGAAGGAAGCCAAAAACACTTATGTCCTATTTCTCAGTACTTCCTTACACTACTTTGTGGTATAAGCACCACAGGCTCAAACCATGTCCCCAGGATATAAGGAGGTGATACAGAGAAATGAACCCATGAATATACACCCTGTGTTATAGCCAAACTTGCCTTTTATGTTCATATGTTGTATTTTGCTTCTCATCCCTCATCTTCACAGCCTTTCCCCAAGTCTGGAATGCTCTTTATCCTCACCTCTACCGCTTGGAATGCCTAACTCCCTTCAAGACTCAGATCAAGTACCATTCCTGGAATCCTGTCCTTTTCTCCCCCTGCCCCAATTGTTAATTCTTCCATCCAAAATTGTTTTGTATTGATTTGTATTATATTGTGTATATTTCCCATTTATTTATCTATATACTTTTTTCCCCCAGCAGAATGTAAGCTCCTTGAGAACGAGTGGTTTTCTTTTTTCCTTTTTCTTTTTTTAAATTTCCAGTGCTTAGCACAGTATCTGGAATACCATAGGTATTTAATAATGCAAATTGGATTGAACTGAACTGAAGAGATAAACAGAGATCTATAAAAGTGGTCAACTTCTGTCTGTGTACACCAGTCAGTCTGTTTACCTAGAATCTTAAAGTAGTCGCCTTGTTTTGCCATTTTCACAATTCTGGGGTTGTTTTGGTGCCCTTGTCTTGAATTCTGTTAATTTTAGGAGAAAAAGAGTAAACAGTCTGGGGATATGGGTAATGATTTTAGCTTAGATCATTACCTATTCAGTGACTCTAACCAGTCATTGGAAATAACAACAGTTGTAGGTTCATTTTCTTTTAAAGCTAGCCTTACAAACCTAAATAAATTATAATTATTAAAATAAATGTTAAATAAATATTAAACAATTATTCTTATCCTAAACCTTCTTTGCTGTAGCTAATGTTATTAGAGGAAGACACACAACCATACTGACTGGGTATGCTAGGAATTCATGTTCTCTAATCCTAACTGGCCCTTCCCTGCTTTTTATTGAGTCTTCTCTGTCTCTGTCTGTCTCTCCCTTCTTCTCCCCCCTTCCCTTCCCACTTCCATTCCACAGATGTGTTTTTCTTCCTGCTTTGCTGAGGAAATCTTCAGCATCAGTCATAAGCTCTTCATTTCTTCTGTGCCACACCTCTAAACTTTGTTGTCTCTTTGCCAACTCTCCCCTCATTTCATTTACTCTCAGAGGATGAGCTGGACCTTCTTGTTAAAACAATCCCTCTACTTGTTCCTTTTACATCCTACTCCATCCTTTCTCCTTTGGGAGCTTTCCCATCAATCATTTCTCTCATATTTCTCCTTAAACTTAGTCTATTGGTTAGGCTGTTATGCCTTTCAGGTGTCAGAGTTGGGCTGAGGAATAATTTCTTTTTTTAATATCAAACATTTATTTTTTTTTCTCCCTTCCAATTCCTCGCCCTCAGAAAAAGAAAAACAAAACCCTTGTAACAAATATGTACAGTCAAGCTAAAAAAACCCTCCTATCAGCCATGTCCAAAAATGTGTCATTTGGCATATTTAGCCCATCATCTCTCTGTCAAGAGGTGAGTAGCATTTTTTTTGCCATCAGTCATCTGGAATTACGGTCAGTTCTTTCATACCAAAGTCACTATTAATAGGTCACATCAAGCTGTTTGTCTAGGCAAGAAAGAGATGCAGAAAAACATTACATCTGCTATGCCATCAACCCCAGCTCACTAACATCCTACATTCCAGGATATGTTGTAGCATACACCAACAAAGAGATGCATAAGCCAGCTATACTGGATAAGATGACTCAAGGAGTAAATTGACTTTTAAGCCCTGTAAGTCACACAAATATGTTGATCAATGCACAGCAGAGGAGTGACCCAATAGGTATCAGGCACTGTAAATAAGCATTAAGACCAAGGAGTAGTATGCAGAGCAAAGGAGAAAATATTTCCACTGTGCCATGTCAGACCATATCTGTTATATCATGTTCAGTTACAAGATGAGGTGTATCTAGAATGTAAGCAGGATGGTGAAAGGTCAAGTATTGGTTGAAGACATTGGTGATGTTACATCTTAAGAAGGGAAGACTTGGGAGGGAAACATCATGATTATTATGGAGTACCTGAAGAACTATCATTAGAAGGATTGGATGGGTTCTGTTTGGTCCCAGAGGATA